GATACAGTGTATGAGTATGTTTTTGTAAAATATTTAAATAGTTTGACACATTTGTGACCTAAAGAATTAGTCCAATAGTTATATGTCTTGTCTTGTGTGTCATGTTTTGCTTTTTGTCTTTTTGTTTATGTATGTCTGTAAGTTGTTGCTATTGTCGGGACCCCCTTGAAAACGAGATGGTGCATCTCAAGGGGTTTATCCCAATGAATACAACATTTCTATATATATTTTTGGAGAAGCATTTTGTTAAAAGTTGCTTAAGCTGTTAACTAAATGTTAACTAAATGTAGTGGAGTAGTAGATGAATAATGAAGCATAACATGGACATACTCAAGTAAAGGACAAGTCTCTCAAAATTGTACTTAAGTGCAGTATTTGAGTAAAAGCACTTAGTTACTTTACACCACAGTTAATGTGTCTACTACTTTATATTTTATATATTTTACTCTGTAAAGACTGCGTAATTCTTAATTGTGTCAGATGTTTGGCAATCCATCCCCAGTTATTTAGTTTTAGTTTTGTCTTTTCCTCCTTTTGATATATTTTTTTTTGTGTTGGTAGTGGGTAACCCTTGGCCTTTTTGTTTATGTCTACGATGCAATCGACTGGCAGCTTCAGACTATTCTCAGGAATTGTCAATGTAATACCCAGCTTGTTCCCCCTTTTCTTTCTCTGGTACGCCATGTAAAGGTTTCTGGTACCTACTTACTGTATATTGTGTATGTCTTTGCTTTATTGTAACTAAAAGAAAAATTCTAAATAAAGTAATCAATCAATCAATCAATCAATCAATCAATGTTTATTTATATAGCCCAATATCACAAATGTTACATTTGTCTCAGTGGACTTTACAGTTTGTACAAAATATCAGTATGACAATACGACACCCTCTGTCCTTAGACCCTCACATCGTACAAGGAAAAACTTCCGAAGAAAACCCACAGTTTAAAGGGAAAAATGGGAGAAACCTCAGGGAGAGCAACAGAGGAGGGATCCCTCTCCCAGGACGGACAGACGTGCAATAGATGCTGTGTGTAAATTGAAAAGATAATACATTTGCAACATAGGTAGTCCGAATGTTTGGAAATGCATGTGTGTATAATAGGAAGATGAATCCACGAGGATATCCATCCAGGACCTATGATCCAGGACCACAGCCACGACTCAAGATCCAGGGCTCGCGATCCAGAACAGAGGAGCGCAGGATCATCCATGACTCCGGATCCCGGCGTATATAGACACCAAAAAGAAAGAAATTTGGGGAAGCTGGGTTAATCGGAACATGAGAGTACACAGGTATAGACAGAGAGAAGGAAGAAGTAAGATGTCCCCCGACAAACTAAGCCTATATCAGCAAAACTAGGGGCTGAATCTAATCAGCCCTAACTATAAGCTTTATCAAAAAGGAAGGTCTTAAGCGCACTCTTAAAAACGGATAGGGTGTCTGCCGCCTGAACACAAACTGGAAGCTGATTCCACAAATGTGGAGCTTGATAAGAAAAGGCTCTGGCTCCCATTGTACTTTTAGAGACTCTAGGAACAACCAACAACCCTGCATTCTTGGAACGCAATGCCCTAGGACAGTAGGGTATAATGAGTTCTTTAAGGTAAGATGGCGCCTGCCCATTAAGGGCTTTGTAGGCGAGAAGAAGGATTTTAAATTCTATCCTGTGTTCTATAGGGAGCCAGTGTAAGGCAGCCAGAACAGGAGTAATGTGGTCCCTTTTCCTAACTCTGGTTAGTACACGAGCTGCAGCATTTTGAATCAGCTGAAGCGACTTGACTGACTTCTTGGTACACCCTGATAATAAAGAGTTACAATAATCCAGCCTTGAAGTAACAAATGCATGGACTAGTTTCTCTGCATCGTTTTGAGGCAAGATATGCCTGATCTTTGCAATGTTACGTAGATGGAAGTAGGCGGCCCTTGAAATTGATTTTATGTGGGCGTTAAAGGATAAATCCTGATCAAATATAACACCAAGATTCCTTACAGTCTCACTGGAGGCCAAATTAATGCCATCCATAGTTAGTATATCCTTAGATAATTTGTTTCGTAGATTCTTCGGGCCAAGTACAATAACTTCGGTTTTGGTCGTGTTTAACATCAAAAAGTTTAAGGTCATCCACGTTTTTAAGTCCTTGAGGCAGTCTTGAATTTTATTTAGATGATTAATTTCATCAGGCTTGATTGATAAATATAGTTGAGTATCATCCGCATAACAATGAAAATGTACAGAATGATTCCTTATAATATTGCCTAACGGAAGCATATATAATGTGAACAAAATAGGTCCGAGCACTGAGCCCTGTGGGACTCCATGGCTAACTTTGGTTTGCGTGGAAGATTCATCATTGACACGTACAAACTGAGAGCGTTCAGATAGATAGGACCTAAACCAGTCTAAAGCAGTTCCCTGTATGCCAACTAAGTGCTCTAGTCTTTGCAATAAGATATCATGGTCGATAGTATCAAATGCAGCACTGAGATTGAGCAAAACAAGAATAGAGACACGTCCCTTGTCAGAGGCTATTAGAATGTCATTTGTGACTTTAACCAGAGCTGTCTCTGTGCTATGATGTGTTCTAAAGCCAGACTGAAAATCTTCAAATAAATCATTGTTTTTTAAGTAATCACACAGCTGTTTTGCGACCGCTTTCTCAAGAATTTTTGAGAGGAACGGAAGATTGGAAATAGGTCTATAATTGGCTAAAACCTCTGGATCGAGGTTGTGCTTTTTAAGAAGCGGTTTTATCACTGCTACTTTGAATGATTGTGGAACATAGCCTGATAATAAAGACATATTCATAATATTTAATAAATAAGTGCTAATTAATGGAAAAACTTCCTTCAACAGCTTAGTTGGAATTGGGTCTAACATACACTGTCATAGTCTGCTCCATCATTCACCAGTAGTTTTCCATTCACCTGTCTCACCTGTTTTCCACACCCACTCGTTAGCTCACTCTCTTTCTCTTCTGCACCCATTCTGCCAGTATTTAAACCCGCACCTTAGACACACTCTTTGCCAGATTGTACTTTGCCTCATGCTTGTCTTTCCCGCGTTTGATACCAGATTGCCTACCCAGTTCCGACCCTGCCTGTCCTCGATCTGCCTGCTCTGCCTGTTCGCTGATCCTGCCTATATCTACGCTGACCGCCTCGCTTACTCCCTGACTCTCTGCCTGTCCCTGACTCACCTTCTGCCCGCTGTCCTCCGGTGCGTTAAACTGCTCGGTTGGTATTCCTCAGATCCAGTGGAATCTCCAATAAAGTTTATTACCAATTCCCCTTGGTTTCTCGAGTGCTGCATTTGGGTTCTCCTTAAGATTGTGACATACACGTTGATGGTTTAGAAGAGAGAATCATTGAATTTAATTGTTCAAGGTTTATGGCTGAAAAGCATTCTAGTTTACTATCTAGTGTAATATTATAACTTACGTTTCCGGGAGCTGTTGATAACACTATACTGGTCAAAGGCAAGAGGTCCTTAATTTTGTTTCTAAGAGTAACAATTTTATCGTTAAAAAAGCACATAAAATCATTACTACTGAGTGCTATGGGAATAGAAGGCTCAATCGAGCTATGGCTCTCTGTCAGCCTGGCTACAGTGCTGAAAAGAAATCTTGCATTATTCTTATTCTCATCTATTAATGAAGAGTAGTATGCTGCTCTCGCTTTACGCAGTGCTTTCTTATATTCATTGAGAGTAATATGCCAAATTAAACGAGATTCTTCAAGTTTAGTGGAACGCCATATCCTTTCTAGTTGTCTCGACTTTTGCTTTATTTTGCAGGTTTCGGCATTATGCCATGGAGATAATCTATGTTGTTTTATTTTCTTCTTTTTCAAAGGAGCAACAGAGTCTAATTTTATTCGCAGCGCATCTGTAGCACTATCAACAACATGATCAATTTGGGGTGGTGTACATTTTGTATAAGTTTCCTCCCTTACATGCAGACATGCTATCGAGTTAAGTATTGGTGGAATCTCTTCCTTAAATTTGGCTATAGCACTAACAGATAGGTTTCTGCTGCAGGAGCTTTTGACTAATGCTTTGTAGTCTCGTAACAGTACTTCAAAAGTTACTAAGAAATGGTCGGATAAAGCAGGATTATGCGGTTCGACTAATAGTTGCTCAATTTCAATACCATAAGTCAGAACAAGGTCGAGAGTGTGATTATAGCAGTGGGTTGGTTTATTTACACTCTGACAAAAACCAACAGAATCTAATATAGAGTTAAATGCAACAGTAAGGCTATTTTTATCATCGTCAACATGAATATTAAAGTCACCTATGATAATTACTTTATCTGTTTTAAGTACCAAAGTTGATAAAAACTCAGAGAATTCAGATAAGAATTCTGAATAAGGACCTGGTGCACGGTACACTGTAACAAATAAGATTGGCTGCAAAGTTTTCCAGGTCGGATGCGTAAGACTAAAAACAAGACTTTCAAAGGAGGTATAATTTAATTTTGGTTTAGTATTGATAAGTAAACTTGAGTCAAAGATTGCTGCAACTCCACCTCCTCGGCCCATGCCTCGGGCAATATGAGTATTGATATGGCTGGGTGGAGTGGCCTCATTTATGCTGACATATTCTTCATGTCTCAACCAAGTTTCAGTGAGACAGCATATATCAATATTATAATCTGATATTAAATCATTTACCAATATTGCTTTAGATGCTAGAGATCTTATGTTTAAGAGACCACATTTAATATTCCTGTTTTGTTGCACTGTAGTAGTTGTTACATTTACTTTTATTAGGTTATTATGTATGACACCTCTATTAGGTAAGTAAGTGTCTACAACTTAATTTCTCTACAGTTACAGTATGAGGGGGGGGGGGTATTACCAGATGCAGTATGTGTGCGGAGTGTATACCAGATGCAGAGTGTTAGTACCATGGATGTATGTTAGTACCAGATGCAATATGTGCAGAGTGTCAGTACCGGATGCAGCCGCCAGGGGGCGACAGTCTGCCGGCGGGCCGCTACAGAGATAGAGGAAGAGCCTCAGAGGGTGCAGTTCATGTTAGCCTCACTGTTAGCAGGCATCGTTGACAAGTGGTTCCTTCTTGGTGATTGTAAAACTAATACCTGTTTACTAAACTAGAGTTGTTATCGAGGCTCTTCGACGACCGCTTCGCCAAGATGAGCTTCTTGTTGTAAGTACAATGAGCAGATATTGTGCTTAGTTACGTTGTGGTTAATGTTAGCTACGAAGTTCCATCAGGGGAAGTAACTGGCGTCAAAGTGAGACACTGTTACAGACAACAACCGTTAACCACTGTGTATTCATAACACGTTCAGGTTTAACTTAAAACGCATTTGTATTTAACTTACAATACGTCGCCTTTACTTAATCTGTCATCTGTGTTTATGTGTGTGTTTCCAGCACTCACTAACTTTTTATCAAACTTGGCTAGCATGACGGTTGACGCTATGTTAGCCCACTTAGCTGATATGATCACTTTTCCATTAAATTAGGCTAGGACAATACGTGTTAAGTTATTACGTTTCAATGTGCAGACCTGACCTCTTTGGGAGGTTGCTAAACGTCGAACAATGTGATTAAGTGTCTCGTTGTTTACCAGTGGTGTAAAGTAATTAAGTACAGTTACTCAAGTACTGTATTTAAGTACAATTTGTAGGTAGGTACTTGTACTTTCCATGCGTATTTCATTTGTATTGCTACTTTGTAATTTTACTCCACTACAATTCAGAGGTAACTAATGTACTTTTACTCCACTACATGTATTTAATATCTTTATTTAGTTTGCATATTTGAATTAATAATGTGAAATACAATCACACTTAAGTTACAACTGGAGTAATATGTAAAAGCTACCCTGAAGGTGAAATGGAGAACATGAGTGTTCCTATTATCTTATAATTGAATCGAATCAAAAAGGATACAAACGGACAGCTGCTTGTTATAGGATATATTAAAAAGAGTCAGCATGGATAATATTTAAAGGCAAAGGGCTCCACCTTTTTTGGCACTGTGGCAAAACAAGTAGCATCTCCAAACGTGTTTGTGGCATCCTTGCCAACAGTTTAAAAGGGAGGCTGTGTATGATCATGAAGGATCAAAACCATGGATGATATATGATACAAAAGGGGTTGTATTAATTATGTGTCTCTTGAAACTAAGATAAACACTTTAAAATACATTCTTAAATATACAGGGAGCCATTGTAAGATGCACAAAACAGAAGTCTGATAGTTTACAGATGTTTTTTACGGTCATATTTTCAGTTCTGTTTTAATTGCTATTTTGAGATGTGTTTATTGTGTAGTTTAAAATGTCTTACTACTTTTTATTCCTAGTTATGTGCAATACTTTGTTTTAAATGCTGCTGCAACAAAAACATTTCCCAATTAGGGATCAATAAAGTACATATTATCTTTTATATAACCTCATTATATTTATGATTAAAACCCCAGAAACAGCATTCTGCACGGTCTGAAGTTTTCACATGTCATGTCTGTATTTCGTTGGCCAATTTATAGTGTTACATTAGTCAAGACAACTAAAAACACTTAACCTAGCATCTTAAGGCCATTTTGAGTCATTTCACTATGACGTTTGCCATAATGTCAGCTGCTGATTGCTCAAAGCTCACAGGAAGGACCCTCACATGTGGAGACCCAAGAGGAGCAGCTACTCCTCCACAAGCCTTTCAAACGTGTCGCATGACAACTGCTCAGCTCCGCTTTTGTTCCTCTGCAGTGGCAATCGCTCATCCAAGACTTTCAAGCCGAAGAAGAACATCCCAGAGGGCTCCCACCAGTACGAGCTGCTGAAACATGCCGAGGCCACGCTGGGCAGTGGGAACCTGAGGCAGGCCGTCATGCTGCCTGAGGGAGAGGATCTCAATGAGTGGATCGCTGTCAACAGTGAGTTGTTAAATGCAAAAATAAAGCTATTTATAAGATAACATAAGTCAGTCCAGAAACCACAATTTAAAATATCTAAACATAATGTTCCTAAAAGAAGATGGCGCCGGTGATGAGGGCTGTCGTGTCTTTGGCTCCTCTCTAACTCTGCCTTTTCTTCGTATTATTTCAGTGTGTTATTTTATTTACCTGTACTATTTTATCTGTTTTATTGTTGTTGCACTGTTGGAGCAGCCTGTGACCTAATATTTTCATTGTCATCGCTACACGGTCTGTAGCTATGTACACATGACAATAAAAGCCTTGTTCCTAGGGGTTTAACATTTACATTAAGTGGTAAAGGAAGGAAGAGATCAAAACAAACACACATCAACATTTGCTATGTTAGCAGGGGTATTAAAAGGAGAATTATTTTAAACGGAAAATAAAAGACAGGGTACAGAAACTATGAATAGTCATTAGGTGAAAATAGAGCATACACACATGCGTAAATGTTTTTATGTTTTGTTGTATTCACATGATTAGTTTTACACTAGACCATACTTGTACCTTGTGTTAAATAGAGAAACAACAACTAGATACAAGTTGTAGTTCTTTATCTATCATATGCAAAACAGGATTGGAGTCTTTGTGGAGGCTGTGGCTCAGTGGACTTAGTGTGCTGAACTTTGAATCAGGGGATAGCAAGTTCGAGTCCCACTGCAGTCAGCATGTCGTTGTGTCCCTGAGACACTTCACCCCAAATGCTCCTGTGGGGATTGCCCACTGTATTGAGTATGTAAGTGGCTTTGGATAAAAGCGTCTAACATGTAATGTAATGTCTTTGGAAACATACATCTTAGGTTTCAGGTTCCCTCCAACAATGCTCATTAAATATGTATTCAAAAGTAAAAGAAGATCCTATTCATTCAACAGGAAGGTAAACCTATGTGCTTAATGATAATTACATGTACTGTATACAAACATCACAGAGTTGTAGACTGTTGTAAAAGTATAGTTACAGATGGTGTATTTTGAATTGCTGGTCACACACCGTCTACATTGTATAAAAAGACTAGAGAAAACCACCAAATGTAAATAAGGTGACACTATTTAGTTGTTTATTGTTATGAGCATGAACTTTTCTAGACAACATTAATACTTTTAGCACTTTCTTTCAGCGGTGGATTTCTTCAACCAGATCAACATGCTGTACGGCACCATCACTGAGTTCTGCACAGAGACCAGCTGCTCCGTGATGTCTGCTGGACCGAGGTAACAGCCAACACTGTCCTTTTCCTGCATGCATCAATTAACGGTTTTAATAAGGTCAAAATCACCTTCATCTTAAAGGTCACCTATTATGCAAAATCCACTCTTTCATGTCTTTTATACATAAACATGTGCAGGGCTGCACATAACTGATACGCATGCGCGGCACAAATCTGAATTGCGTCCCTTGTGTCCCTTTTGCGTACCTCAAAAACAAAACACATATTTCGTCTACACGTGTTTCTTGTCAACACTCAATGGAGTAAACTACTAGACATGGCAGGCTGTGGCTCAGTGGATAGTGTGCTGGACTTTGAATCAGGGGATAGCAAGTTCAAGTCCCACTGCAGTCAGCATGACGTTGTGTCCCTGGGCAAGACACTTCACCCAACATTGCTCCTGTGGGGATTGTCCACAGTATTGAGTATGTAAGAACAAGTGTAATGTAATGACATGTCAAAAAAACCAAAGACATTAAGCAGCTACGTTGCCGTTTCGCTCCCTGCAAAAAAATCTTCATACTTTCTATGACTGTGCTGGGCGCTGGGCGAGCCGCGCAGGACATAACCGACGGACCTGTGAAGCTTACAGGAGGCAGAGGCTTAGATCACTGGACGACAGAGTTGGTCGCCATGTGCATAGGCAGGGTTAGCGTCGGTATGAACAACAGAATTGTGCCAAAACTCCGCCAACTGGCTGCAGTGGGAGAGTGTGCACACTCTGTGCCCCGCGCACACACTGGAGAACTGCGCAAAATCAGCTGATCACAACGTTCACGCTCTGTGGTCAAGCTGCTGCAGTTTTATCTACAACAAAGTGGAGTAAAACACACAGTTGCAAACTTACTCAGGGTTTAATGGAAGAGTTTGAAATCAGACAGAGGTGGAAGAAGTACTCAGAGCTTGTACTTGAGTCAAAGTAGAAGTACCAGAGTGTAGGAATACTCTGTTACAGTAAAAGTATTACTTGAGTAATATTCAAAATGTTACTCAAGTAAAATTAGAAAAAGTATTATCATCAAAATGTAGTTAAAAAAGCGACAGTAAAAGTAGTCGTTGTGCAGATTGGTCCATTTCAGAATAATATATATATATGTTTTATAAAGATTGATCATGAAAGTGTTCTCAAAGCTGGTAAAGGTGCAGCTAGTTTTAATCACTTTGTATACTGCAGGGTAGCTTGTGGATTTACTCCAGGTGGAACTAAAGTCTGATTAAGACTTGATTAGATTTCACATTATTCATCCAGATCAGTAAAGTAACTAAAGGGATTAAATACATGTAGTGGAGGAAAGGTACACCATGTACCTCTGAACTGTAGTGGAGTAGAAGTACACCATGTACCTCTGAACTGTAGTGGAGTAGAAGTACACCATGTACCTCTGAACTGTAGTGGAGTAGAAGTACACCATGTACCTCTGAACTGTAGTGGAGTAGAAGTACACCATGTACCTCTGAACTGTAGTGGAGTAGAAGTACAAAGTAGCATTCAAGTAAAGTACAAATATCTCAAAATTGTTCTTAAGTACAGTACTTGAATAAGTGTACTTCGTAACTTCCCACATCTGAAATCAGATATGACTTCAGGTCATGTGGTAATTTCTTAGTATTTGATCCTTCCACTTGGCCTCAGGAAATGCAAGGACTTCACAGTTTTAGCAACAAGTTTTGGAGAAAGCAAATCGGAGGCTTAAAAAGAGACAGGGAGGTGCATCTTCATCATCTTCATCATCTAGCATGCAAGAAGTGTAAATAGAGGACAGTGAAGGAGACATGACTGAGGAGGACCACGCTTCGTGTGGGGTGAGTACCAAACGCTGTCTCCTGGTACTCATCTGAGTAACTCACTAAACAAGATATGTGCACCCTGAACATGTGTCCCCTCTGTGTAAAGAGATTCTGGAAGCTTCAGGAAAAAAGATTCTCTCTCTTTTTGTCCTGATCCATTTATATAAAAACCTGTCTGAAATCGAGCTGATCAGATTTTGGCCACTTTATGATGTCATAACGATTTTTTAGCTTTTTAGCCAATCACCAACCAAGGTAACCCTCCCCCCCCCCCCCCCCCCCCCCCCCACCTTATCACCTGAATCTCCTCCTAGAGCACCATTGGGTTCTTTTTAACCAAATCTCTCTCAGAGGGGTGTGGGGAGGGGCTCCTTATTTTCATCTAAAGTAACAGACTTTGGTAACAAAACTGTTGGTAAGTAATCAGCACTTGAGGGGATTGTGGGTAATGCTGCAATGATCTGTTTGGTGTTTGGAGCCAAACACTTCAGAGACATGTTTGTATATATCTGAGACCTGTAATATATTGATGAAAAACAGTAATAGGGGACATTTAAAGTTCAATTGGTAAAACCTTATCTCAGCCAGAATTGGGAAAGGACCTTTAATTCACACCATGAAGAACCCAACTATAGATTCAGATTGTTAGTGGCTAAGACAGCTAAAGTGTATGATATTAAAATGCATCCGAATGTCGAATGAGGAAACAGGATTTAAACGTGGCGTGTGGTCCCTGTTGAGGCTGTTTGGTTAGAATCGAGATGTGGAACTTCCTCTTTCCCCTCTCCTGCCAAGACCGTCTGTGTTCACTCTGTAATCGGGAGGAAGAGACGGCGGTTCATTTCCTGTTGACATAGTCAAGAATCAAGAATAGGATTGTTGCTACTTTTGCATTTCCCCTGTCCTGCTCTTTTATGATCTCTAGATGATGTTATGTTTTGACAGAAAGGCAGAATAAGTGCATGTTGAACAAAGAGCTTTAATTTACACGTCCTTTATGGAAGTTTGCCGTAGTGAAATAAGTCAGTATAACAAGAGGTGGCGATCTGTTTCTCTGCAGGTATGAGTATCACTGGGCTGATGGCACCAATATTAAGAAGCCCATCAAATGCTCCGCCCCCAAATACATCGACTACCTGATGACCTGGGTGCAGGATCAACTGGATGATGAGACTCTTTTTCCTTCCAAGATCGGTGAGTTATGATTAACAAGGCATTTTCATTTTCAGCAGTTAGGGAACAAACTACAATGTTTAGCACACGTTGTTTCCCTGCAGCAAGTTATTGCATACATCCCTTTCCCATAAACCTGTATGTTGTGAATATTTGAAATAGTTACATGTATCTTCCTTCAATATATTTGTATGTTTGGACTCAACAATGCTTGAATGTCAACATTGTGAATGTTATGAAGCTTCAAACTATTCGGTTGAGCCCAAGCAGCAGAACAATGATCTAGGCCTGTGCAATTAATCGTATTTTAATCTCGATTACGAAAACAACGTAATCGAAATAAAACGATTATTCATTTTTATTGTTTTTTCAGTTCAATTATACTTAAAGTTCAGGGTAATCAACTGTTAAAAACATACTGTTCACATTTTCTTTTTCAATAAATGGATGTTTTCAAAGTAAATGGATAATCCTTTTAATAATCGTGATGTTAATTATTGACCAAAAATAATCGTGATTATGATTTTTGCCATAATCGAGCAGCCCTACAATGATCCTAAACATAAAGATAAGGCAACCAAGGGAAAACAAAGTTAATGTTGTTGACTGTCAAAGCCAGTCACCTGCCTTCACTCCAAATGATCATGTGCCTCACATGCTGCAGGTCAGACTGAGGCAGAAAGCAGTGAAGATGACATCAGATAATGTGTCAAAGACTTCAACATGTTGCAACATAATGCTAAATGTTGGGGTATAATAAGACTGCAATTAAATAAAATGGACAGTGTCGTAATGTGAATGTTCAATATTAAAACTGAACGTTGTTGCATTTAATCTCCGATTCAGTGTTTAATAACAAGTTGAAGTGGAGCAGTACAGAGGAAATGTAACCGAATGGGGACAATACGGTCTGGCTGCTCTGTATCTCCTCTCTCTGCAGGCCTTTTCTAATACTGTCTATCCACATGCTCGCTTTTTGATTACAACACACAAGCTCTTTTCTTGACATCATTGTTTTCCACTGTGCTTTGTCCCACAGGAGTTCCCTTCCCCAAGAACTTCATGTCCGTGGCCAAAACCATCCTGAAGCGTCTGTTCAGGGTTTACGCTCACATCTACCACCAACATTTTGACTCCGTGATGCAGCTGCAGGAGGAGGCCCACCTCAACACCTCTTTCAAGCACTTCATTTTTTTCGTTCAGGTGAGATTATTCTGCTATAAAAAAGGATCAAATCACTGCTTTTCTTTCTAAAGCCCTGTAATCCATATATGCTCTTCCCATTTGACATGTTGTTACAGGTTTGAATTGCAAACCTGAGTCATATTACCATAAAACATGTTCTGACTTCTCAGGAACTAGTAACATTTCTGTAATATTGCTCATATGTTAAAACGAGTCAAGTCATATGTTTGTTTAACCAGGCACAACTAACAGCATTTGTAAGCAGTGGCTCAGTCAGTGGGGGCTTGGACTGCGAGCTGTAGGGTCGCCGGTTCAAGTCCCCGACTAGACCTAAAATATGGAGTGTGGACTGCTACTTGGAGAGGTCCCAGTTCACCTCCTGCCCTTACGTGGTGCCCTTGAGCAAGGCACCGGACATCCCCCTAACCCCCCCACTCCCATTGCTCCCCGGGCGCTGTGCAATAGCTGCCCACTGCTCCTAGTACTAGACTCCTGGCACTAGGATGGGTTAAAAGCAGAGAACAACTTTCACTGTGTGCTCTGCATGTGTGACCATTACAGAATGTTCATCCCTCCCATTCTATTCCATTCTATTCTATCAAGCAACACTACATGTATTAAAGGGTCAATGTTTAAGATAAGATAGACCTTTATCAATCCCAGTGGGGGAATGCAGTAGTTTAACAGCAACAGGGTAAGATTGAAACAAAACAGGACAGCACAGATTAAAACGATTTAAGGATAACATCAAAGTGATAAATAACTATAAAATGAACATATATACATATTTGTTATCACTTAATGAAATAACTGTTCTCCTTCTTTGCTCAGAACAAAATAACAAGACATATTTTTATGGGATGTGGCTGTGAATAATATCGTGTTTCATCCATTATATCTAACGCCCTGCAACGCTTAGTCTAGTATTTGCCAGATTATTATGTAAGCATTTGTATCTGCAACAGTCCTGTCATGTTGGAACAGAGTCAGTGTGGATTCTTCTGCCAAATACTGACTTATGCTTTAGAGTTACTTGGTTACTTCAACAAATGGATACAATTGGCTATTTCCCAGATTGAAGGTCTAACATGGCGAACGAGGACGCTTGCATGTGTGATGGGTTAAAGCAGGGGTGTCCAAACTTTGAGTGCCACATACAGAAAAATATTGGAAGGGCTGGGCCGCTCCCTAGAGGTATATTGCCTCATACGTTCAGTTATAAGTTGGAAAAATCAATACAATTTAGGTCAATTATTCTTGATACTTGAACATTTTCTAAGAAAGAAACGACATCTCGGCTGTCAATAGGGTTTCATGTATTGTGGTGGCAGCTCATTCCTTAAAACAGAAGCGTCAGATTGATTATAATAAGAGGAAATATGAAGCTTGTTCTGTACATGTGTTATTGGGTTTTTTCTTATCAACTTAGATTTGTTAGAACATGTTTTCAACTTTAATCGACTGAATTTATTTGACATTGGGCTTATTAACACATGAATACTACTGTGTAATATATTTGAACATATACGTTTAAGAAGTACAATATAAGACAAGCAGAAGTTTCATTTGCTGGCCATATTTCCTTATACTTTTTTAATTTGCGGAGGGCCGATTCATAAAGGTCCGCAGGCCGCATTTGGCCCCCGGGCCGTAGTTTGGACACCCCTGGGTTAAATGATTTGAGTTGTGCCTAGTTGAACTAACATATTGTAAGTTAACACTAATTAAGTTTCAGGCATTGGCCTCCAAACATGTCAATGCTACTGCTTCTTTTGCACTTAACTTTGGGACAATTACAACACAGGTTGTGTATGTGTGCAGCTTAAACATATAATGTGAATTTATCAGATATTGAATGTTTTTTTCTTGTAGGAGTTCAACCTCATCGACAGACGAGAGCTCGCTCCACTGCAGGACTTGATTGAGAAGCTTGGATCCAAGGACAGATAGACATTTCATCCATTTTTAAAACCATTTATTTTTCCTCCTTTGTCCCTTTCTGTGACTTCTGCTACCTTTTATGACTTCTAGTCTCAACTCTTGAAATCTGTGCCTTCTTCCTTCATGAACATTTGTACTGTACTTCTCCTTTTATTCCCTCTGTTGTCTATAACGCTGTCTTTGAGCCCTTTTCTCCCATTTGGCCGCTCTTGATAGTGTAGTGCAGAAAGATTTTTTTTTAACAGGCTCCGTTAGAGCAACCTACTGAATTCTTTATTGGACCAAGGACATTTGGAAGATAAAGTGAAAACCAGCTTCTTCAGAAGAGGGTTAACAGTGTTTTAATTGTCTAAACACTTTCTAGTTATTGATAGGCCATTTTCTTTTTTTGGTAACTTGTAGCTATAGTTATTACAGAGACTGACCAAATATCCCAGTATGTTTTAGATGTCTATCATTAGAGTGACTGTGGAGAGTAAACATGGCAAGAAAAGCAGTGACATGAAACAGGTCTCTGAGGAACACACAGCCTGACAATTATGTATCAGGTGTTCTCAGTCTACTATGAAGACGGGCACAAAAAGCACCAAAATATATGATGTAGCTCGAGGCGGTTGTCTATTTCATATCCCAAAAATGCTAATATTATTTCCTTTTGACAAAGTTACATGTGAAGAGATCGCAGATAGCGCTTGAAAAAAACACCATCAAACTGCATTATAGCCATTTCAATTTGGAATCACAATGTTGGGTTTTTGCACATTTTTTGGCAGTTTTCTTAATGAAAGGACCTAATGCTAGATATGGTGCTAAAGCCATGTATGGCTTTTGGAAACATGATCCCATAAAGTGAGTGAAAATCATCCTGTGGAGCAAAGATAGTCTAATATTTTTTGTTTGTTTTAAGTGGTGCCGAAAATGTGTAGAACTCTGCATATTTGATTGTTCAATGGTGGTACTATTGGTTTCACTAAATAATTCCCCCCTAGATTGTAAAATAAAGCAATAATCATGTGACCTGTGCATGATCATGAAGTGACTTAAGTTATATGTAGTTTTTCCACAGATGTCTTTCTCAGTCTTTGTGCATGTGTCATTGTCTCTTAACTGTGGCTACAACAGCAGGGCTGTTTGATATGCCATCATTTCACAAACAAATGCAGAGAGTATTCCTATAAATTGTTTGGCAAACTTTGAGCAAGGAAATGTATCCATAACATCCTTCCTGTTTGGACATCAATTCATTTCAGACAATCATTTAACCAATTAAATGCTGTTTTATAACTTGATGCATCAGCAGGAACCATTCATTTGTTTATTTTATACTGGTTTACTTTTCAAGATGTTGAAAGCCTTTCAACAATGTGAAAATATGTTTAGGTCCTCTAGCTGCTTGGTAAAAAAGATCCAGCCAGCAACCATTTAATTCATCATGTGTAAGCATATCAATATATTTTTACCAGGCCAAGTTATTTCTGAGATCATATTTGGATATATAACTAGTCCTTTCTTTCAATGTAGCCACATATTTTTGAAATGTTTTGCTTTTTCTCACTATTTAGTTTTGAAACCGATGGCATGGAGTTACATTTCATATTAAACTGTAAAATAAATAGTTGATTTTACATTTTTGAATAAAGAACAAGGGCTTGAAAGTTTTATATATTTACAAAATGGTCCAATTATTGGGGGTCCTTTTGACTGGCAGGAGTTGTAGGATGTGTGCGTCCGAACATTGGCTGTAAATAAAATCAGTGTTTTTTTTTTAACAAAACTGTGCCTTTATAAAAATGTAAATGTCTGATTTGACACAGTATTGGAAGATGAAAAGCTTAATAAACACTGTAAGGACAATAGTGTTTTTAATTCTGTGTACTGAAGGTGTGGAAGTCTAAGCAGACAGACATTGATATGAAACGGTGTAACATTGATTACAATCATTCTGTAACAAACCAAATGAGTCCACTGTGCAATGGATGAAGAAATATCACGTCAGACAACTTCTGTGAGGCTAGAATATGTAATAAACTTTGACACAAATACCAAAACATAGACCCACTTCCGCTGCAGACAGGAAGTCAAACCCAACATACGGAATCGTTTTTTTCTTCCTTTATTTATTCAAAACATATGAACATAATATATATATTGTATACAGACAAGTAGACATATAAAGAAATAAAGAATTACATAAATGAATGCAAAAAATACGGATTAAAAAATTAAAATAAGCAAACACACAGAATCGGACTACTTCTTTTATGAAACGATTGCTTAAAGCTAATCAATGTATATATCAATAACACTTTTATCATAATGTATTTTTTTCTAGATAGAAAATAAAGAGACATTTTCCCAACACACGGTATTTACTCACCAATCAAAATCGAGCCTGTTCCGACAATGAATACTTTCCCCCTGAGTTTTGTCTGACAGTGAGCTATAACCATTAACCTCTATAATATGTCTGATCCTCACATATTTAGATGTCCATTTTATAGGGCTTAGACTACGTGAAAACAGTGTACATTATTGTTTTAGGATGTGGTTTGGTTGTGCCCAAGTTAAAGCAGGCGGTAGTCATGTATACGTATGCAGCCTTAGAGACTTGACGCGGGATACACGTTACTCTTTGTCAACAGAGCAAGGAGGAAATAACGAACTGTTTCCAAGATATCATCAAATAGTTAGCTTAGCTGTCGGGTTTATTTATGGATTCATGATCTCCAGAGGCAAAATAATTGACACACGGTAACAACAGAACGACTGTGCTCGCTTTTCTTGGACCGGGCGGCACATTAGCTTCTTAGCTTGGTCGCTGTAAAGTTAGTTAGCTGAAATAACGCTACGTGGTGGTTGCTAACGAGATATTTAGTGTGAAGCTACGCAGCTAGCTTAAAGAAACAAACACGGTTAACATCGTCCAACTTGTTGATGTGGATCGGAATGCTTGTTGACCAACCTTGACGGGGTATCTCCTTGTTAATCCAGGTTATCGTTGTCAGCTAACGTTAGCTTCCTGCCGGGAAACAGTGGGTAAGCAAACCGAGAGAGAGCTGTCAAGCAGCCTCTTTACATCAGAGTATTCATTGGGCCAGAGGTGGGAGAAGTACCAGTAGTACCAGAGTGTAGGAATACTCTGATACAAGTAAAAGTCCTGCATCACAATCTTACTCAAGTAAAAGTACAACAATATTCGCATCACACTATTTTTCAAGTACTTAAAGTACTCATTATGGAGATTGGTCCATTTCAGAATAATATTAAATGTTTTGATTATAATTATTGATGCATTAAAGTGATATCAACGCTTATACATGTGCAGCTAGTTTGAATGACTTTGTATACTGCAGGTTATCTTGTGAATGCTACTCCAGGTGTAACTAAAGTCTTATTTAAGTGTTGATTATAAGGTTATAAGGTTTTAAATAAAAGTAGTGGAGTAGAAGTACATTTTTTACCTCTGAATTGTAATTGAGTAGAAGTACAACGTAGCAAAATATTGAAATACTCAAGTCAATTATTATTATTATCACTATGAAATAATAAAGATCACCAAAACACTATCTTCTTATATCTCAATCAAGCTGTTTTTGTCATAAATAAATAACATTACTCTTTTTCTATAGGCTGCAGTAAAGCCATGGCAGATGAAAATACACACTTCTGTGGCAATTGGTAAGTATGAGAAAGGTTCATTGTACACACAACTCATCGATGAATTTGATACTGTCAGGACTGGTTTTTTTCATTTCATTTCAAACCTTTATTTACCCAGGTGTATCCCATTGAGATCATTGATCTCTTTTTCAAGGGAGACCTGCTCAAGTAGGTTCCACATGAAACATACAAACATAAACAGAACAACAAAAAGGACATCATACAGCATCATTACAGGGATTACAATTTACAATAACTATCCACATGAGCAGGAACCAACAGCTTCCGATTGAGTAGCATCCAACCGAGCTTTAAAAACATTTAGTGGCACCAGATTGCTCAGTTTCCATTTCAATTGCAGACTATTCCAAGACAGAGGAGCTGCGCATCTAAAAGCTATCTTCCCTAAGACAGTCCTAGCAGTTGGCACATTTAATAAAACCACAGCATTCGATCTCAGGCAGTAGCCACTTACAATTCTCCGTGAGATCAGGGAGCAGATGTAGGATGGAAGTTTCCCTAACATGGCTTTATATATAAAAATGTACCAGTGACTGAGCCTCCGTACAGTTAGTGAAAGCAAACCAGCCCTTGCATACAGGGTACAGTGATGGGTTAATGCTTTACAGTTTGTCACAAATCTCAGTGCGCTGTGATACGCAGCATCTAACTTGACCAGGCAATTGGCAGGTGCATTCATATACATCAAATCACCATAGTCCAGCACAGGTAAAAAGGTCACAGTGACTAGCCTTTTCCTGGCCTCAAGTGAGAAACAGGACTTGTTCCTGTAGAAGAAACCTAGCCTAACCCTCAGCTTTTACATGACGTTTAAAAGTGAGACAATCATCAAGCCAGATACCAAGGTATTTATAACAGGTAACCACTTCAATTTTTATTCCTTGCGTAGTTACAATATCTACAACAGGCTCTGGTGTCTTTTTAGCTTTTGAAAAGAGCATTACCTTGGTTTTCTCAACATTTAAAAGAAGCTTTAGTTCAGAGAGCTGAGTCTGAATAATGTTAAAAACTGTTTGCAATTCAACAACAGCCTCCTTAATGGAGGGACCTGCACAGTACATCACGGTATCGTCCGCATACAAATGTAAGGTTGCTCCATCGACATTTTCACCTAAACTATTGATATATATGGAGAATAAAAGTGGACCTAAAACAGAACCTTGAGGAACACCATTAGCAATGTTTAACCACTCAGAAGACAGCCCATCAAAGTGAACACATTGGGACCTTTCAGAGAGGTAGTTCACAAACCAACCCACTGCATGGCTGGATATGCCGATACTGAGTAGCCTCTGCTTTAAAATGTGATGATCGACGGTATCAAACGCTTTGGACAGGTCCATAAATAGAGCTGCACAACTTTGCTTATTATCTAAAAAACTCGCCACATCATTCACCACTTTCATTGTGGCAGTGATGGTGCTGTGTTGCTTTCTGAAGCCTGACTGATGTTTAGACAGGATGTCATTTGTACATAAAAACACCTTTACCTGTTCACTCACTAGGCGTTCAAGAACCTTAGCCAGAACTGATCATTTAGAGATGGGCCTATAATTATTTAATAAAGTGGCCTCCCCACCTTTTAGTAGAGGCAGGACATACGCTGACTTCCACAATTTTGGAATTGTGTTTGAGCTGAGGGAGAGGTTTAAAGGAGTAGTGAGAGGTGGAGCAATACAATCTGCAGCTATCTTTAAAAAGAAAGGCTCTACGTTGTCCGGGCCAGCCGGTTTTATATTTGTCTTTACCTTTCTTAGCAAACATGACATTCCAGAGGCTAACTTCACGACTCATGAGATCCACTGCAGAAGAAACATCGCACTGTGCGACATTTGCCAGGAGCCGGTGCCCAGGTCCGACCTGCAGGAGCACAAACAGCAGGAGCACGCTCAGGTAAAATATGAACATCAATACTGGATATATTTTTTACCTAACTCCAGCAGTAGATGTGTGCTGCTTCTCAGATGCACTGTATTGCTGGAAAGATGCTGCATCCTGTGTTTTAGTAGAATCAGTGCCAAGTGGGTTAGCACATACGATTTAAATTGCCTTGGTGCATACATAAACACAGTTAAAGATTTAAATCAAATCAAGTTTTATTTATATAGCACATTTATAAACGATTTTTGGTCGAGCCAAAGTGCTGTACATATAATAAAAATAGCCTACAGTAGAGACACTTTACAGCAAATACAACAGCACAGATTGTTCAGAATATCAGTATGAGAAAAACGACACCCTCTATCCTTAGACCCTCACATCGTACAAGGAAAAACTTCCAGAGAAAACCCACAGTTTAAAGGGAAAAATGGGAGAAACCTCAGGGAGAGCAACAGAGGAGGGATCCCTCTCCCAGGACGGACAGACGTGCAATAGATGCCGTGTGTAAATTGAAGAGATAATACATTTTACAGCATATAGACCGAATGTTAGGAAATGCACGTGTCTGTAATAAGAAGATGAATCCACGAGGATGTCAGCTAAAATAAACGATTAAAGCATTAAAGGGGACCTATCATGCAAAATGCACTTTTTGATGTCTTTTATACATAAATGTGTGTCGGGGAACTCACGCAGCGTCAGAAAATAAAACCCTCTCTCTTTTCCTCCGTACCCAAATCTCTAAAAACGGGCTACAACAGAGCTGATCCAGATTTGCGTCCGATATGACGTAATATCGAAAATGTAGGCTGGCTTTACACCCACGGCCCTATCAGAAACGTTGCTATCAGAAACAATGCCCGACTGTTTTGGACGTAATATGGTCGGTGCATGTTTACATTAGCATCGCTAACACTCAGAGCTAACCTGTACTGCACAGAGCATGTGTGTGAAGAAGCAGGAAGTAAAAAGGGACTCACCTTGTGGTATAACCGGCAAGAGAGAAAGCCTTTGAGCTCCATCCTGTTTCAGAGAGAATCCTTGATAATCCATGATATGGTGTTTCATCACGGCAGTATTGAGTTTAGACAGTAGCTGCCGGGTCCCGCATGAGCTCAGCCCCCTCCTTTTTTATTTCTTTATTTAAAGCTTCATACCCAAAATCAGCACTTTAGAAACAGGAAGTGAAATAGAGGGATATGAGGCACGGCTAGAATGGGTGATCTGTTTGGTATTTTGAGCAAAACACTTCATAGACATGTTTTTTATATATTTGTATATATCAGAGACCTATGCTATTGTCTAAAAATAGCATGATAGGTGCACTTTTAGACATAGAAAATGATTTACATGAAATATAGATATACCAAAAAACTAGGTACAGCTTACTATGACAAAGCACTGATATCTGTGCAGATATCAAGAGAGGTAGCTCTGCGGAAAAATGAAAGCTCCCGATGTCTTTGCTACAAAGGTACAAACAATAATTATACCTCTCAGAAACACAAAGGGCGGACAAAAAAAAAAAGTGATTTGTTTCCACTTAGATCTGTTGAAGCCAGAAAATGGTAAAGATAACCTTTGACCCCTGTTTATTGTCATGTCTCATGAGTTAAAAGGTTGCCTGTTTTGATCAGACGTCCATGCGATAATGGCCAGGACAGGAAAACACTAGATTCTGTGGAAGGAACTCTTGTATGTTGTGGACACTTATTCTCATGTGCTTTATTGCCAATTGAGCAAGTCATCCGTTATCATATAAAGAACATGTATTATCAAAATCAGTTTCTGCTGCTGTTTGTAACATGTTCTCTTTAAACTGGTTAAAAGAGAATCTCGTCAGTGACCAAATTCTTCAATCATGATTAACCTGGAACCCTCATTCCAAAGAAAACAGCTAAGAAGAAAGCCACGTCAGAATGTTACTGGATGATTGTATCTTTCAAATCATTTTCACTTTCCTTTCAGATTACATGCAAGTGTGGTCTAAAGATTGAGAAGAAACACTTCGATGTTCACCAGGTATTTCTGCAGAAGCTTTTACCCACTCATAATGCATCCATCTTAAGTCATTCCTGAAGTGATGTTTCTTTACGATGCTTGTTTCTTTCAGAGCTTCGAGTGTTCTCAGCGGCTGGTCCCGTGCCAATTCTGTCAACTGGAGATCATTTTCAGTCAGTCCAAAGAACATGAAGATTACTGCGGTGCGCGCACTGAGCCTTGCCCAGTCTGCAAGTGCAACGTAATGTTGAAGGAACAAGCCGTGCACCCCGTGTTGTGTGGAAGCCTCACTCCGCCCCAAGAGAGGAACAACAGCCGGACGAGTCGCAGTCCGGTGGATTCTCAGCCTCCAGGGGCTTGGTTTGAAGCCCACTCCATCCGAAACCTCCTAAGAACCCAAGAGAGAGGCACAAAGAATAATAACATCAGTGCAGCGGATCAGCAGGCCTTCCCCCGGCCGTTTGACCCCAGACTCTACAACACCTCGAGTGGACCTCAAGCCCCAGCTGACTGGAAGAACTCTGTCCCGGGAAATACATTTAGCCACTGTGAGTTTATCACTGACCTATTGATTGTTACATATGAGTAGGGGGTAGAGCACCCACCGTGCTTTTATAAAATATATATATAATAATTGACCAATAATTGACCTACTTCTTAAATGTTAAACAACCTTTAAAAGCTGTTTTAGGAGCCCTGGGGAGTTTTATGTAAACAAACAAAAGTGATATTTACAACATTTCTCATTTGGGGTAAAAGACATAATTATGGTAAAAATAACATCTTTATTGATTAAATTCAAATGTGATGTTTGTCTGATCAGCAATAATGAACTTGTTATCACCCACATGGAAACAAATGTGGGTTTTAAGATAAGAGTTTATCAAAGAATAATGTGTTTTTTTCCTGTTACTGTTACCTGAAGCTGCACCTTAAATAGTTATTTGTTATAACTACATGTTATGTGTTGTAGTGCTGGGTCCGTCAGACTTCCTGAACAGCAGCAGCAGCTCCAGCAGCAGTGCGTGGCCTCAGAGTGAGCTCAGGCTGGCCGAGGATTCCTCCGGCCTGGACTACATGCTGGCTCTCAGCCTGCAGACTGACGGAGAGCCGGGGGCCGGGGGCGTGGAGGGGAATCTGTGGAGCGGAATCTGGGACCACAAGATCGAGAAGCCCTCTGTTAACTCTTCACTTTGTCCGCCCAACAGCAATTACTCAAATGTCACTACAGTCACAAGCCCAGTCCAGGAACAGGATCAAGCCGGTAAATATTAGTGTTGATAAGAATACTTTGATTTATCCTGATGTCAGTTTGTTTACAATTTTCAATTGATTTCATAGATACCATGCTGCCTTGTGAGTTCTGTGAAGAGCTGTTTCCTGAAGAGGACCTCATTTTGCATCAGGTAAGAGATGGGTTTATGGGTTGGTATGCTAGATAAGGGACAACAAATATTTTTTACAAGGATCCCCTGAATGAAAATGAAAGCATGAATAAGACGTACTCGCCGAATGGTCACTGTGCTCACAGAATCCTTGATATATCCGAAATCACTACATTCTCAATACATTCTGGCCTTGAGACTGCCATGTGTGACATTTATATATCAAATGTTGGCCTTTAGGTTATAATGTTGTTTTTTGCAGATTTGTTTTGGTCATCTGGGCGTCATGTCCTCATGACTCTAAAGCACATGTGTCAAACTCAAGGCCCGGGGGCCAAATCAGGCCCGTGGTGGATTTAATTTCACCCGCAGGATCATTTCTAATTACTATTAGATCTGGCCCGCCGGTATATTGCACGCACACCTTCACTCAGTCCTGAGGGTTTCCTCAGCTCAGAGCCTGAGCCCAAACATTGATGACCTTGCACCCAAGATGAGATGCCAAGTATCTGCTTGAGCTAGCATCACAGAGCAAACTGAGTTTAATGGATGTTTCCTTCTGCACTTTGTTTCTTGAGACAACAGGGAGTGTTTGTTTTGTTCTTTGAGGGGAATTGTTTTGTTGAAGCTGTTGTTGGCCTGTGGAAAAATGTGATCATAAGAAATGACTCTGCAGATAGAGCCATAAGAAATGAATGCAACTGATTATTTAATGTTGTTTTTATAGGTAATAATTTAAGCTTTGTTAGTTCCAGGTTTAATATGTGCAAAAAATTCATTTCAATAAGTTTTGCAATAAACATTGAACCAGTCCGGCCCTCGACTAGTACCCATTTTTTTTATTTGGCCCACTGTGTATTTCAGTTTGACACCCCTGATCTAAAGGTTGTTATTGCATACGCTTGAAGCTGTCAGAACTTCAGCCGTAGGCAGAGAGTTAAAAAAAGAATAACCCACAATTGCTGCTGATCCTTTTTTAGAGTAACTAAAGTCATTTGATATGAACATTAAAAGTGGCAATAGACCACATTTTCATGTCGATGTGTATATCAGTAGTGTTGGGGAAGACGTTTTTAATTCCAGGTCAGTGCATCATATGTGCATGAATGATGACATGACAACAATCGGAACCTGACTGACAGATATTACCAGACTAACAGACTCTGCATGCCGAACACAGGACAACCTGCTGATGTTTTTGAATATCTTAACCTGATTCACGCACAACTTTCAGTTTCATTTGATCTTACTGCTCTGACCATCAGTTGAGGAATACATCTGTGTATGCGCAAATCTAATCAGTGAAACATGCTCAAATCCAGTCAGATATCACATGACATGCAGACATGTGTATACCTTTCTTTATGTGTTGTTCCAGAAGGTTCACAGTCCAGCTACAGCCTTTACCTATTTTGTTTTTTTCCAATGTTTTTTTTTAATTGAAGAACAGGCACAATCATACAGGGTCCCAATTGAAACAATGATCTTCATTCATTTCCAATTCTTTCGAACAAACCATCACCACCCCCCACCCATCGCCTCCCCTCCCACCCCACCTTGAAAAGTCTAATACAAAAATAAAACATATTGATTCCACGTTCAGGTGTATAGCCTTTACCTGTTTTAACAAGCCGCCTTGTAATCCTTCTAGTTAGGGACATGATGATTCAAACGATTTCATTTACCTTTTTTTAAATGTTTGTTTGCAAGTGCAGGACTAATAAAGTCATTCTGATTCTGATCCACTTCTCCTCTCCTCCATGTTTCAGACTGGGTGCAGCCCCGCCTCGGCCTTTGCGTCCTACAGCAAGCAGCCCTTGTCCCCCCCTAAGGAGGACAGGATGAGCAGGAATGCTCCAGGTTTGATGCACGACATCCCCGACACCCTGGCCTCCAACATCCCCACCTTCCACCGCTCCGCCTCCCCGGCCTCCTACAGTCCTCCAGCCAGTCCACTAGAGGGCGACGTGGTCATCCCCTGTGAGTTCTGTGGCGTCGCTCTGGAGGAGGCCGTCGTCTTTCACCATCAGGTATGTTAGAAATTATGTCGATCATTCTTTAGAAATAAGTTCACCATCATAACGTTTTGACCTGTTGCTGTATTTAATGCAATTACACACAAGTCAGTAATGTGCAATATACCCTCGTTCACGCTTGATTCTTTCTTTCAATTTATTTACAATCTGCAAACAGTACCAGCTACCTCTTCAAAGACATACTGCTACTTATTTTACTATGTTGAGATCATCTGCTATTTGTTCTTTTTACTTATTGTGTTTGTTATAATTCATAACGTGTGCATACTTAGCTATTTAATATGTAAGTCTATTCTCTTTACTTTATCTGCACTACACTTCATGCTGTTGTAATCATGTCACCGTTGAGGGACAAATAAAGGAATTCTGATTATGTCAAATATGCCCTGAACAACCCAGACTTCAAAGATCCTCTCTGAATATATGTTCATAGATTTTGAACGTTGCAATTGCTAATGATCATTTTAATGTGGGTTTTTGTATCCAGGACAAATGTGACATGCGTCCTCAGAACGCCCATCCGCTGAACAATCTCACTAAATCGTCTGTCAAGAAGACACAGAGCCCTACTAATGACGCCTTTAGCCAGATGTCTCCAGATTTTCAAATGAGAATGAATCCCCAAGGTAATGTATACACTGTTTTTGTCATAATGAGAAAAAAAAGCATTCAAACAATTATGTAAAGGTTATTATCTCTCTGACAGTGTTAACAGACGTTACTGATCACCAACTATAATCCAGTTTGTGAGGCAATTTTTTGTTTATTTGATTGATGTTTACAGGCTTTTTTCTTTTGACTCAAATATGTATATTGTGTATCCTGTGTTTCTCATATAGCTGACTTCTCGCAAGAGCACTTTGGATTCGACAGAGACGCAGCACCGCTAAGGGAATGGCCGAGAGGCTACATTGGACTCCCGAGTCAAAGGAAGACATCCAACTGTGATCCGAACCGAGCTCAGGCGGGCCGGGAGGCAGAAGGATCTCAGTCCTCTCTCAGTGACGCTGAGCAGGCCGCTGCTGCGTCTCTAAAGGGGTAAACGAAAGCTCAATGGATGATTTTTATTTAGTTTAGTCCTACTTTTATTTTTATTTTTTTCAGTTGCAAATCTTACACAGATCTTTATTGTTCTTTAAATACGTACAGTTCGTAGCAAAGCGAGTTGCCCTTTTCTCTTCCTCTCATCTTAACCCTTAGACCAGTGTTTCTCAAACTTTTTCATACCAAGGACCACTTAACCAATAAAAAAACACTCGCGGACCACCAAACTCCACAAATATCCCAAAACACATCGTTTTTTACAAATCGCCTGAAAATGGTACAAACAAGTGGCCACATGTGTGATGAAGGTGTTTATCTGGGCTATATCATGCAATCGAAAGTGAAACTTAAGCTCGCTCCATTGCGGAGATATTCCTGCGAGAGTGCGGAAAACTTAAATAAATAAATGTATTTCAAATGTGAAATTTTACCAATATACTCACGGACCACTAGGGGGCGCTCACGGACCACCAGTGGTCCGCGGACTACACTTTGAGAAGCACTGCCTGAGACGCATGGGTCTTTTTGGACCCGGTGAGGTGGTTTTCTTGAAGTATCTTTGTAATTACATTTTTTTATCATTTCATATTCCAGCTATTCCTTAAGAAACATGTTTTGGATATCATGCCATTCAAATTTTAAATTTAAATGTTATACATTTTAAGAAATTGTAGTTTTTGTATTACATCCCCAAGCTTCCATAAGTGGATCAAAAATCAAAATATAATACTAAATATTATACAAGTGATTTTTCTTAACCGAAATGACAAAAATGGCATAAAAACACATATTATTCTAATACGGGTCCTTTTTGACCCACTTATGGAAGAGTGTAGGGTCCAGTCACTCGGGCATCTAAGGGTTAAGCACACACCCAAACATCTTCTCTTTTCTCTTCCTTCCCCTACGTACTTTTCCAACTTCATCCTTAACCACCTTTTATCCCTCTGAGCAAGATATCACATCAACTTCAACAGGAAGTTTAATATCTTGCACTGACCGTCTATTTCAGCCTTCAACAACATTCTCTTATTTCCCTCTCTAACCAGTCTTTGACTTATTGTTTAGTCCGACTTGACCCAGTTAAAAATCCTCCATCAAATAACGATTTGTTCTTTGTGTTGGAGAATGTTATTTATATTCTAATTTGAATGTGTTTGTCCATCAGAGTTCATCTACCAGAAAATAAAGAAGGCAGAGGGAGTTCATTGACAAAGGTACACCTAGATTCTTTAAAAAAAGAGTTGATGATAATGCTTTTTGTGTTTGTTTGTCTTTTGACTGTGACAGTACTTTACCTACAGTGTATAATGACGTACAAGCATAAAGGTTTATCATACAGGAACAAAGTGTAACACATGCTTATTCATCAAAAACGATCTATTGTGATTTATAAATCTTAGCCAAATCACAAGGTAAATGATGTTAATATGTTTACATGAGGATCATAACTCTCTCTTACTGTCATGACAATATTTAAGTCAGCAGACAGTGCTACTGCCAGGATATTAAGCTATAAGCTTTTTGTAACATGATTGCTTTAAAGAATAATTTAAGTACAGTGGAAGCTCTGCCTTAAAGGGCCCATGTCAAGCTTTTCTGGTTATCACCCGTCCCCTTGTGTGTTATGAAGGTTGTTATGCATGTAAACGGTCTGCAGAGTCACAAACCCTTTTATTCCACTCAACACATGTTTGTCTCCATTTCTTCCATTTGCAGTTACCCAAGAAGCAAAATGAAGAGCAGCAGGAGGAGTGAGAGCGGGATGAACATGTGGAGAAAACCAAAAACCAAATCTCCCTCTGTGCTTTCCATATATCTTTCTGCACACTTCTGAAAACAAATAATATACCAATCTGATAAGTGCCTGTGCAACAATCTAGCCGTTTATATTCTGATGAGTTTTACTATAAAAGCCTCGGTAATTAATTTGGTTAATTAATACATGTCAAGATTTGTTTCAAATGTTTGTATGTCTAACATTTAGCCCTAAAATATAAATGATAAAAGCAGTTGTATTTGTGCTGAATTAGATTTTGTTTGTTTGGTAACATTGAGAACATCGAACCAAGAGTCGCTGTGCGTTTGTCTAACCTGATCTTTACGTGTTAGTTCAGACGAGGACATGTCGTTTTCCTCCAGGTTTGCCAGTCCCTTCCGGCTCTTTCAGTGTTCCTGTTGGTTTCTGTACCTCTATGTCACCTGAAGCACCTTGATAGATTATTTTGTTAAAAAAGGGCTTGAGGAACAGATTTGATGCATATTTGACCACACAAAACAACAACTGTGTAATTGAACATTTGTCTTTTTATACTGTTAAACATTTGTCTTTAATACTCTTCATTCATATTTAGATTTTTTTAATCATACCTATAGAACTATATATGTGTTGTTATGATACGATGGCTTTTGAAGCAGTGTCACCTGTCCAATCCTCTTTTTAGGTAGTATGAATTAGGATTTAAGATTGCTGAGATGTATTTTGTGTGTAACATAGGTTCCACTTTAGCAATATATAAGATACGCGACCGTGTGCCTCAGACGGCTGAGCCTTCATATCTAAAGACAACGCCTGAGTGTTTTCCTGATTATCATCCAATCATCAACCTCGGCTAGTGAGGAGAAAAGAATCAGTGAAATCTCCTCGCGGTGTTTCTTTGGACTGAAGGCACTCAGGGCACACGGCTGACTATCCTGTTTAAGAACAACTGTCTTCATGCTCTTTGTCTTGTGAGGCTATTAAATGTTTAATGAGGATGTTCATGGCTCCAGTTTGTAATCTGTTTTTTTACCTTTTTATACGTCAAGATACCTTCAGGAACCAAAACTTCATAGGACGGCTGAAATATATGTATATCTTTAGAACAATTTCCATCCTTATCTAGTGCCAACAGTGATGCCAATTCCAGTGTATTTGATGTGCCACTTTTCAATCATCAATCAATCAATGTTTATTTATATAGCCCAATATCACAAATGTTACATTTGTCTCAGTGGACTTCACAGTTTGTACAGAATATCAGTATGACAATACGACACCCTCTGTCCTTAGACCCTCACATCGTACAAGGAAAAACTTCCAGAGAAAACCCACAGTTTAAGGGGAACATGGGAGAAACCTCAGGGAGAGCAACAGATGCCGTGTGTAAATCGAAGAGATAATACATTTTACAGCATAGGTAGTCCTGATGTTAGGAAATGCATGTGTCTGTAATAAGAAGATGAATCCACGAGGATGTCAACAATCCTGTGGGAGCATCAGGGAAGTAGTATGAAGAGAGTCAGGCAGGATCACAGGTTCAGCCACGACTCGAAGTCCAGGACTCAAATCCAGAACTCAGGATAGAGGATCCAGGACACAGGACCGCAGCAACAGGATCAGCCACGACTCAGGATCCCGGCGTAGATAGACACCAAAAAGACACTTTTCCACTTACCCAAGGATCACACAGTTTTGTTGCGTTATTACAATTTAAATGGCTTTTAAAGTTTTAAAAACTGAATCTTAATGAACCATTTATCATACAGTGAAGCTCCATTGAATATTTCGAACAACAGAATTGATTTTGTGTTGCTGCCAATGTAATACAATGAGTCATTAGTTTGCATAATATGGGTAGTCAACTTGAGTCTAGACAGTGTTTAGTATACTTCGAAAACAGTCTACAGTAAAGGATATACACTCGTAAACCCATAAGGAGATTATGGGAGGAAAGGCGAGACTGTTGCAATGAGTAAATACTGTATGAGCAACACAATAAGTATGATATAAGACTGGGGAAACTAGTAGTAGTAGATAATGGTGGTAAATACACTTATCATTAATGGCACTTCAAAATACATGATTAATGTATGATATGTATTGACTGAATCAGCTGACAGTCATTGTTATAAGGGATTTTTTTAATTTGTATTTGGTGTTGCCTGAGAAAGGGATATGGGGAAATAAAAATAACATTGCATCCATCCAAGTGCATGGTGTTAATCTGAAGTCAGATTTATTTGAGGAGATAAAATGCTATTGCTTTATTTCCCAAGTTCATAATTGTTTTATACCTCTATGATGTTTCCTGGGAATAATCTGATACCAATACAAAACATGTTTTAGTTGCTCATAAGAAGGGGTTCATTTCCAGTTAACTTTATGTGAAAAATAATGCTTGTATTAATGTAATGTATTTACTTTGTATGTTTCTTTATACTTCTACTCCACTACATTTAAAAGGGAAATCATGTAATTTTACTCCAATACATTTATACAAAAATATTTAGCTACTTTTAATAAAATGCATCTTTGTAATTTAACTACATGTGTGCTGGACCAATAACTCTAAGTCACAAGAGAGACAAATTATTTAAATATTTTTACAAAAGTCATTCAGAACCTTGTTTGTCTCCAACAGTAAAATGCTACTTGATTGAACAATATTATCTAGAAATACCACTTAAATAAACATACACATTTTTTGCACAATAATTACTTTTACTTTTTGCTGAGAATACTTTTGTACTTTTATCGAAGATTTTGAAAGCTGGACTTGTAATGAAGTATTTTGAAAATAATGAATTGGTACTTTTACTCAAGTAAAGCATCTGAATACCAGTCCCACCTCTGTTCATATGAAAAATGTTCAGGATCATATTTGCTTTATGTAATTGTTCATTCTCGTATGTCCACACAAACTGGGGGGCACTAATCCCCTATATACTAATTCATATAAATAGTTATCAACGCAATACACCATATTTACTTTTGTCTTAATTTACAATATTTAATATCATATTCTGTTCTTGTACATATCACATATCCCATATTCTATTGACATAGTCTTTTTGCACTACTTTTTATTTTGTATTTATGTATTTATTATATATGATGCATTGTTGGAGGAGCTCAGGTCAGAAGAATTGCATTGCCATTTCTACACTGTAGCTTTGTTGTGCATATAACAATAAAACCTTTGAATCTTTTTTGTATTAATCTATTCAATTGTCATACATTATACATCATACATTTGACATACAACAGACAAAGTCCAGTGGCAGACATACAAAGCAACAAGATTTACAATTACATACCGTAAATAAAGAAAAAAGGAAAGAAAAATACATGTTGATACTTCAGATTAAATCTTTTTAAAATATCAAATTAGTTTTGATTGCCTTCTTATTCCTAATGTTTTTAATAGTGCTAATATATTGTTTGAATTCTTGATAGAAATGTACAAAAAGTGGTTTGGAGTCAGCTACCTTTGAAGCTCATCATCTCATCGCTGCTTTACGTCCTCCCACGGAGCAGCGCGCTTTGAATGCTCGCCGGGAGAAGCCGGCCGGGCGAAAGAGAGGGGCGGAGTTACAGAGGGGCGGGGTTACACCTTTCAGTGGGAATCCTCAGTTCAAAAAGCTGCCAACGTCCCCTGGTTCGAAGTGTTGAGAGCTGCTTTCACTACCACCCAAGAGACGACTAAAGAGGACCGGAATATGCTCTATGTAAGCGGGAAACAGGGTTATATTCACTGAGGGAAGTTTCTGAATTTATCTGCGGTGAAGATTTAGGAAAAAAAGAAAGAAAACCGCAATAAGTCGTACAGGTGGAGGAGCACACGCTGACCGGTGAACCCGTTTTTATCATCCAGACCTTCTCTCACCTGAGCCCGACCTCACAGACCAACATGTCCGTGGAGAGCTACTCTGCGCTGGACGAGTCCTCTCTCCGAGCCTTGGTGAGTTACTTCAATAAATGTGCTTTACCTAAAGGTGAAGCACCTCATGAAGGTGCACTGCTGTGGTGATACTGCTACCTGCCTGGAGAAACACAGATACATTAATATAGCATTCAGCAGGCATGGATGTGTTCATGATATGGGGATGAGATCTTAAATGTATTTCTCGTCATGCTGGTATTTGTTAACATTACTGTTACATTCTTTAGTGCAACAGCTTCTTTCAACAGTAGCCAACATAGCTATTGTCCAAACAACAATGTTTTTTGCCCCTGCCTTTCATATGGTATATAGTTATGGTAATCCTGACAGGTGGTTTACAGGTTTAGTACCTTTTGTACTCATATATAGTCACTTTAATATAACGTGTTATTGTTTATATTCAGAGAAGAGGTCACCTTGGGTTTTTAGGAATTTAAATAGGTATTTTTATCACCATTATTTTTTACTTTTCAATTAATACACAATCAAAACATTTAGAAAGTTATAGGCACATTAAAGGATAATGACAATATATATATATATACTATTTGCTTTTCTAATTAGTCGTCAATGTAAAAAGTGAGGTAGTTATTAATGCAGTTGTTAGTTAAAAAGAGAGTTGTTTGATTGTTTTGTCAGCGTAAACTAGATTTAAAACCCTAAATTGATACATCTAGTACTCTAATCGCCAACAATTTGAACTGTTATGGTCATTTATCAATGTCTTGTGTTCTGGACTTGTGATTGGGAAAAACAAGCACTTTGAAGAATACATTCAGACACTTCATGCACTAATCAATGAGTCAATGATTAAAATAAATAACTGACAGATTGATCCATAAAAAAGATAAAAGTCAGTCATAGTGAGAACTGATTAAAGTAAGCGTTGACGTGATCAGACATTTAAAAAAACACTGTAAGAAAGTTAATTTCACTTGTGATTCACACGGATCCATTAAGTCTAGCCAATTAATGAGGCAGACATGATTACATCATAAGTGAGAGCAGCAAATCAGTTCTTTAAAGTAAACCTGAGAAAAGAGGACTTCCTGTTTCGCGTTAGTCATGCCTGGATTATTTCCTGAGGCAGAGGAAGGTGAGACATCTGTCTGTCTGTCATGACACCTGTAACGCACACATTTACAAGGATGCATGACTCAGCGTGTCACTGTTTAGACACCGTCACACTACTCCGTCAGAGAAACACAGCTGGTACATAAGACACCTGTGCAGTACCATCCTTTTTATGGTTTTCCGTTCAGGAGTAATGGCTACTGCGAATATGCAATGACGTAGAAGTCGGAGTCCTTTTTAAAAAGTGGTGTTGTTGACATTTCAGATTAAGCTACTGTATCTGATTTAAACGTCCTTTCCTCACCAGTTGCTTTCCCTAAACTGTGCCCTTTAAGAAGAGGTTATCTCTAAAATATACATGTATATCTTCTGTCCTCATAGATCAGTAAACCAGACAAGAAAAAGCTGTTAACTTTGGAACAAGGCGGCGTATTAAATGTTTTCTTGACCTTCATGCAACTCCATTATTACCCCGAAGTCTGTTTTTGTTTGGCCAAGACCTTTTCCCCTCATAAATCACTTGAATGCAAAACTTTTATCACAAGTGTTATTATAGTAATAGTGCGAGCACCGGAGTATATTGAGGTAATAATATTTTATTTCACTGTAATGATTTACTAGTTTTGTGTTTGCTTTGATCACTGCATTTATATATATATGTATGTGTGTGTGTGTGTGTGTGTGTGTGTGTGTGTGTGTGTGTGTGTGTGTGTGTGTGTGTGTGTGTGTGTGTGTGTGTGTGTGTGTGTGTGTGTGTGTGTGTGTGTGTGTGGTGTGTGTGTGGTGTGTGTGTGTGTGTGTGTGTGTGTGTGTGTGTGTGTGTGTGTGTGTGTGTGTGTGTGTGTTGTGTGTGTGTGTGTGTGTGTGTGTGTGTGTGTGTGTGTGTGTGTGTGTGTGTGTGTGTGTGTGTGTGTGTGTGTGTGTGTGTGTGTGTGTGTGTGTGTGTGTGTGGGTGTGTGTGTGTGTGTGTGTGTGTGTGTGTGTGTGTGTGTGTGTGTGGTGTGTGTGTGTGTGTGTGTGTGTGTGGTGTGTGTGTGTGTGTGTGTGTGTGTGGTGTGTGTGTGTGTGTGATGTGTGGTGTGTGTGGGGTGTGTGGTGTGTAGTGTGTGTGTTGTGTGTGGTGTGTGGGTGTGGTGTGTTGTGTGGCCTTTTACCACCCCCAAAGGTGTGGCACTTATAAGATACTCTCTTCTGCAGCTGCTTCTGAAAAACTGTACCAGTCTTTAAGAATTACACAGTGTACACATGGACAACACATTGTGTGTTTTTGTTGCTTGCTTGTGAGATTTTGAATGTGTTTTCAGAAGTTGTTTGAAGTAAAAGTAGCCTGTAAATCTGGTAATATATTTTGTGTGTGTGTGTGTGTGTGTGTGTGTGTGTGTGTGTGTGTGTGTGTGTGTGTGTGGTGTGTGTGTGTGTGTGTGTGTGTGTGTGTGTGTGTGTGTGTGTGTGTGTGTGTGGTGTGTGTGTGTGTGTGTGTGTGTGTGTGTGTGTGTGTGAAGAGGGAGTTGAAATGAATAGAAAGAAAAAACGAATGAAATCGATTCATATTTTTTATAGTGAAGGAATGAGGACAATTCAAACGTTTTTCTAATACTGTGTTTGATGTATTTTGATTAAGAAAAGGGTATTTGTCCAATAATGAAGATAGAAAAAAAACCTACAATAGGAGAACACAACTGTAATTGCGGTTCAGGAGAGAAAGGAAGCCTGAAAGGACGTAATTACTCGTCAAATAAGACAAAACGCAAGTCGTCTTTATACACGGAACGTACAAGTAGGCACTAGTTCAAGAACAGAAAACAAACCTATGATAAGACAATTTAGCAGGACTTTACATTTACAATGCGTGTGTGCTGTTGAAACAAAATACCTAATATTTGAAGTCCCTTCTACTGGCTTTTATCCCAATTTCCCATATTGTTCAAATCTTCCCCTGTTCCCTGTGTCCTGAGAGCTTGCTGTGAAATACCAGCATTGTCTCAGACTAAAACGAGTATCACGCAGACGGAGGAATTCGTGGGATTCATCCTGATGTGGTTCCTCACGAAGCTACATCTGTGGATTCATGGAGCTGAGAGGCCCCCCCCCCCCCCTCTCACATGGGACCACCAGCTATAAGGTCATAGCGATCCCACATTTGATGATGTTTGCAGGGACTCGAGTGTCAGGGTTTTCCACAGTGAACTCGATGGAAACAAACTGTGATTAAACTCAGTGAGAAGTTCATATGGGATTGAGATGAAACTTAATTTCAGAGACATGAATGGAGCCTTTTGTGTTTGTTCAAGCCAACACCGCATTATGTGGTGTTTTTATATTCAGTAATTGTTGGGGGGTTTGTAAATTAGGAATCGTTTTTCAGGACTCTAGTTAAAGATGATGGACGCGGCTTAATTAAAGTGGCAGTAGAGCGGGTGGAGGAGCTTCTGTGAAACAAAAGTTGGATAACGAACACAAACTCCAGGCTGTGTGGCACTTAATGAACTAAACAGTCAGAAGGTCATATGGCGGCCTCTCTAACGCCACTAATCCCTTCCTACACTTCTATTCAAAAGCCATGGGTGCCTTTTTTATATTGCTCACTTAATCCTCTTCCATGGCAACCAGCAAAAGCATTTTCCCTTTTCTCTCGACCACCACAATTATTTAAATATCCTCGAATCAGTTGGTGTCCCAGTTTCTTGTGGATAGGATGTTTGCTGCGGGTCATCTGTCTGAATGGTGCTTAGAAAACACAAAGCCAGTTGAGGCCAGGGAGAAAAAAGAAAAAAAAGCTCTTTCCAACCAAACCGCTTTTGTCCACTGTCACTGAGAGGAAGATCTGATCAGCTGATTGCCACCCTTGCAGAGTGATGATTATCTGTGGCTGTTGTTTCCTGTGTGCTCGTGACAAACCTGCAGGACGAGCCGTGCCTACAGGTGTGTGTTGTCGTGTCACCTGTGCTCCACTAACAATAAGGTTCGTCTGAGGCGTCCGCCACCATGATCCCCCTTCTAATTATCTCCGAAACCCCTCAATCCAAATTTGACCTTTTTTTAAACATTGTCTTTAGTGATTTCTTTCCAGCATAAGTAGATCATATATAGAAAGGTAATCTGAATGATGCCCGGCCCCTCCCCCCAGCCATCCACTACACCCTATAACACACAAATGTGTACCTATACCAAGAAAAATAAGTAATAAAAATATCACAAAAGCAATTCCCAAAAAAAGGAACAGGATAGTGCAAATGAACCGAAACAAAAAGACAAATAAAGGAAACAATGTAGTTGCAGGAAGGGAACAGATATCCCGCTCTTATGTGTCCTTATAGTTGGTAGTGGGAGAAAAAGGAAATTATAAATCAACAGTAACAATGATAAGATATAGACTCATATGGATCCCAAATTGAACATTAAAGTAGGGCTACCCTGTGGAGTCTGTCTCCAGATATGTAAGAAGTATTTTTAAAGTCTCCCAAATGTGTGTACAGTTCTCCAATGTCTGCATGATACATCATTGTGGTCTGCTAACGCACACGTCTGTCTTCTAATGTTTTAAATTAACATGCCTGTCTGGAGACATGTCTGCCAGTGGCGCCTGCTGGGCTGATTTCACATGCTGGATGTCTCGCTTAATGATTTGTAACTCGTCCTGCCAGCCATGTGACTGTCCTTTCTCCCTGGTGAGCAAGAAGCATTCACACGTGTTTTAAAATTGTTTTCACTCTGTGGTCCAGTCCTGGTGATATATGGGACCCCTGGGTCTCCGCTTTATGGCTCTCTGGACCCTTTGTGTGTTGACAGGGGCTCAACGGTTACAGTCGCACAGGAAGAATGGGTTTGTTTTGTGGGGGTCTCGGTAAAGTCCCAGGTCCCCCCCACCACCCCCTGGAGGCACGGTCCAAAATGTCAGACACATCATCAGGAAGACATAAATCGGACAAATTGTGCCGCCTGTC